AGCAGGGTTTATTTAGCAGACAGCATCATCTGTGACTGCAATCTGAAATTGGAAGGGTTTCTGTTTTGTCCCTTATTGTTTGGGGGCTATTGATTATTAGAAACGGGGATAAATAAGCTTTGGGAAATATTTAGCAAGCCAAAACCTACTGTTGTTTAGTACACTTGAAATCATAGTGACCCAGTAGGGGCATGTGGAACTGCCCCAGAGGAGTTCTAAGGCCGTGCTAATGGAGGCAGACAGTGACAACGTCCTCCAGCATAGCATCTGGCGGGTTTGGAAGGCTGACCTCTCAGTTTGGTGCCAGCAGGGCTCTGGGAAGGCGAGTCGACCAAGAGAATGGAGGATAGTTTAGTTTCAGTGCTGCAGTATAAAGTATATGCGGGACACTAAGTGAAGCATGTTTCTCTTTCAAGGTAACTGAACTACACAACATCAAAAATATCACCAGGCTGCCTCGAGAGACGAAAAAGCATGCAGTGGCGATTATTTTTCATGATGAAACATCGAAAACATTTGCCTGTGAGTCAGGTAAGCAAGTATGGCCCGTGGACAACGGGGAGATGGAGCTGCTCCTGAGACAGTGGTCCGGATGGATCACACTGCTCGACAGGACAGGAGAGCTCTCCTGTGAGGCGAGGGTGTTGTAGAAGACTTGAGTCCCCCTGGCATATTGATTTCCATTGATGCTTGGGGGCTTGTTTATCCCTCTATGTGTGCAGTTTGCTCCCAGGTGGTCTGGGAACTCTTGAAGTAACATCCAGGCTTTGGGCATAGAAAGCCCAGAAGTTGCCCTTGGGGTGGACACTTGGCTGGCACTCAGTAAGCATGGGGCTCTGTCAAAGTGTCTCCATAGGCATGCTTCCTGCTAGGAATCAGATGCCGCCACATTCTGTCTGCAGCCCAGACACTGAGAAGTGGAACTTGAAGCCCTGTGTTCCTATCAGAGATTCTCCGTCATACAAGTGAAAGCTATTTCAGATTGAATGTTAGTATCCCCTTACATAAAACCTCATGGCTTTGTGGGGACATACGGCAGTGGAGTCTGGATTTTTTTTTTTCATTTTGTAACCCTGGTGATGTGTCACATTTTAGTTTATTACAGCGTTTAAAAGATTTTATTGTCTCGGCGAAACAGTCTACTCATTTCAGAGTGGGCAGAAGTATATGTTGCGAGGGCCTTCAGTGAATTTAAGAACATAGCTAAACCTTAAAGGAAGCTTTGTCAAACATTTTATTTTCCCCCTCCTTGAGTTACTGTTTCGCACTGTAATGAACACCAAGTCATTTTATTCTAAAACCAATGGCGCATCTCTGCATGCACACTTACCTTAGGCTGGTGAAACGGAGTGGAGGTGGATGGCAACGTTCCTCGTTCTGTGCATGCCTCCATCCAGCACGTGTGCTGGTGTCCTTTCACTAGCCCCTCCCGAGTCTCAGTGCCTACTTTAAAATGGATGTTTTAAACAAAGAATTCTGTTTCCTGGTTTTATAACTTCCCATCCGTAATAGAACCGGCCCAGCCATGCTGGTACCAGATACTGAGTCCCCAGGAGGATTGCTCCTTGTTCACTCTCTTACACTGCTGCAGCACGTTTTCCTCTCATCCTCTGCATAATTAACATCTCATATTAGGACTTACAACACACCAGAAGATTGGTTTTCCGAAAAGCTTATGAAAGATATTCACTATTGTTTTCATTTTTTGCTTTTAAAACCTTGCCTCTGCTGAGTGATCATGTGGCCATACCAGTGTCCGTTACTGCGGTGCCCTGGGGCTGCGGTGGTGAAGGGCCTGGCTACTGCATGTCAGCTGGGGGATTTGAGCCCACCAGGTTCTCCACGGGATAAGCCGTGGCAGGCGGCTCTCCTCATGATCTGCAGACTTGGAAATCCTGGGGAGAAGGGAGGAGTTCAATCCAGTCCCACAGGGTTACTACAAGTCAACACGGACTTGATATGGCAGTGGGTTTTTAGTATGACTTTGGAGACCACAAAATTTTGGAAGATTTCACAGGAGCAAAATGAGGGACCAAGGAGCTCTAGGGCTTGGTGCTAATGTGACAGACCATTTGGAATGTCATGATCCCTACCAGAAAAAAAAAATTCATGTCATCAATATTTAAACATTTTCACTGCAAAAGAAAATGGAAGCCCAAGACAAAGATATTTGCAAAGTACATATTGGACAAAGAACTGCAATCTAGAATCTAGAGAAAGCGTTTAGAACTCAATAATATATATTTTTTAATTCTTTAAAAATGGGTGAAGAATATGAAGAGACATATTACTGAAGGTCTGTGGATCACTAGTAAACATATGAAAGATGTCAAAATCAATCACTATCAAAACACAACTGTGTTAGATCAGGTTGACTAGGAAATAAAGCCATAGACACTCCTGTGTGTGCTTTATATCAAAGAGCAATTGTATATTGAAAAAATATCCCAACCCAGACCAGATCAAGCCCACAAGTCCAATATGAGCCCATATGTGTGATACTGGTCCATAAATTCCTCTTCAGACTCATACAGCACATGCGCCAGGTCACAGGCTGGTGGGTGAAAATTATTGTGGAAACATCTCGGCACTGGTGCAGGTCTCCACATGGCTCCTCCCCAAGAAGGTGAAACAGAGAGAGAGTATAACCCACTTCCACAGAGAAAGAGAGGAAGTTTCCAGACTCCTCATGGTAAGACCATACCTACAAGCAAGCATCATCTGGCTGTGACCTGATTGACAGGCTAGACTATGAAACTACCACACCAACTTAAGAGCACAAGAGATACCTAGGAAACATCTCTAAGACTGGGCAAAATATAGTTTCTGAAATGGGGCTGCGCGGAGTACTCAGGTAGATGGGAGAAACTGGACACAGTGCTGGAAGAAACAGAAAATGGGACAGGCATTTAGGGGTGCTAGTTGATAGCTGTCAAATTAAATATATGCTCCATTTATATGAAACCCAGAAAACAGACTTCAGAACCTTTCTCCAAAAGAAATCAACATTTATGTCCATGTAAAAATTGTGGTGGGCTGCCTGCTCAACAACAGTGGTTGTGTTATGTGCTGTCAGTCCCAAAAGCATTGCCACCCCGTGTACACAGTCCACCATCTTCACACGTATGCGTAAGTCCCAGCCCATTGTTTGCAGCCACTGTGTCAACCCATCTATATTAGTCTAGGTACTTTGGAGAAACAAATCCACAGCAACTCATGTATAAGAGAGAGTTTTATACAAAGAAAATGTGCATCACGAAAACATTCCAACCCAATGCTGCCTAAACCCACAAGTCCAACATTAACCCATACTCAACACCAGTCCACAAAGTCCTTCACCTCACAAAACAGAGGCAATAATGCCAACTGCAGGAGGAAAGCTGAGTCAGTGAACGAACAAGCATCTCAGCACTAGCAGGGGTCTCCACATACCTGCTCCAGCACCCAGGGCTGCATCGGGATAGGTCCATGTAGCTTCTCCTTGGGGATGTCTTGTAGGAAGTCAATCTTGCAAGCTGAAGCAGGGAACTGCTAAGGCAGCTGCATCCGGTGCAACCATCACAAAACAAGAGACCCGAGAACTAGAAAGGCGAGGCTCACTACCCATTTATCCCTCCACCTTTCAATTAGCCCCATATGTGATTATTGGCCAGGCTGGCACAATTAACTAACTCACCATCTCATTGAGAGCCTTCCTCTTTGGGGCTGCCTCTCTGCCAAGCGTGATGGATGTCCCTCTCCAGAGTCTGATCTTTCCTGACAACACGGCCAAACTACATGAATCAAGTCTTTGCCATCCTTGCTTCTAAGGAGCCTTCTGGCTTTACTTCTTCCAAGACAGATTTTTATTGTTGTTGTTCTTTTGGTAGTCCTTGCAACTTTGCATAGTCTTCACAAACACCATAATTCAACTGCACTGATTCTTTTTCCTCATTCAATGGCTAATGTTTCCAGGCATATCAGGCAATTGAGAATGTCATGGCTTGGGTCAACTGTACCTTGGCCCTTGAAGTAACCTCCTTGCTTTTCAAACTTTCAAGAAGTCTGGTGCAGCAGATTTACCCAATGCAATGTGTCCTTTGGTCTCTTGGTTGCTGTTTCCATGAGCTTTAATAGTGGATCTAAGCAAGACAAAGTCCTTGACAACTTCAACCTTTTCTCGATTTATCGTGATGTTACTTATTGGTCCAGTTGTAAGGATTTTTGTTTTCTTTACATTTTTAGTTGCCATTAAATCAATTTACACTCATAACCAACGGACTGCCATGAAGGGGATTCAGACTTGTAGGTACCATACAGAATGGAGGAGAACTCCACAGGGCTAACTTTTGACTCATAACAACCTTCTAGGACAGACTGAAACTGCTCCTTAGGATTTAGTAGGCTGTCAGCTCAGTGGGGAGGAGCGATGGCGATGCAATGAGTTAAGTGTTGGGATGTTAACCACGATCTCAGCAGTTCAAAGTCACCAGCTGTTTGATGGAGGCCAGGTGGTTCTCTTCATTAAATCTGCAATAGCAGAACCCCTGTGCAGCTGCTCTACTTGGTCCCATGGAGCTGTTCTGAGTTTGAACACACTGAACTGAAATGGGCAAACATTACCGGGAACGTATCACCAAGCCTTTCACCATCAAATCTACCCAGTAGGTTTGAACCAACAACCATATCTGCTCAATGTTCTCTTGAACAACTTTATTACCCTCGCTTGTTCTTGTTTCGCTTCGGCATGGAAATCCTGAACATTGTTGTGGCAAGCATTCATTTAATCCATGTTTACTGAGTACTTACTGTGCTCCAAAGTAGCCACGAGGGGTGGAAACCCATATGGTTCACTGTTCAAAACCACCAAAAGCCCTCAGGAAAAATGCTCGGCTTTCTACTCTCTCAAACAGTAAAAGTCTTAGAAATCCACAGGGCTTTCTGTGAGTCGCCATTGACTCAATGGCAGCAAGTGTGGTTTGGTTTACTGCGTGCCAAGTATTTGGTCTACCCTCCACCCATTCCAAGGAGGATTGTTGTTAGGTGCCATCAAGACCACCCCGATGCATGCCACCCACAACAGAAAGGCACACCCACGTCCTGTGCCATCCTCACAGTGATGCTTCCGCCCTTTGTGGCCCACTCTGTCAGTGGTCCATCTCATTTGGGGTCACCCTCTGTCTCACTGATCTGTACTTTACCAAGCAGGGTGTCTTCTAGGGACTGGTTGCTCCTGATGCCATGTCCAAAGGACTTCAGGAAAAGTTTTGCCATCCTCCCTTCAAAGAAACATTCTGGCTCTACTTCTTCCAAAACAGATTTGCTTGTTCTTCTGGCGGTCCGTGGTTGTTTTAAAATTCTTCTCCATTCCCATAATTCAAGCGCATAAAATCTGTGATCTTCCTTATTCATTGTCCCCAAAGCAGTTACTCTAAAAATATATGAAGATCAGAATTTTTAGTATCTGAATTCCACTTTAAAATTAATTTTTATTCATATTAAAACGATGACAGCTTTCCTTAAAAAGGAAATAACAAGTGTTCTCATTTGTT